TATGAATGCTGTAAGCAGTTGAACAGGAAAAGCATACAATCAGCTTACACTCCTGGCAATCAGCATAGAATCCAATTTCCCCAATAACGAGACAACACTTCGTTTTGAGGTCAAGCAGAACTGACAGAGCTGTGGGTTTATTGTTCTTATATACACATTCTTACACATTAGTACCACCCACAGGGTTTTGGAAAACAACCAATAAACACGTACAATACACTCAGACACAAAAATATATAACTGTGCAGCCATCACCAATCTTCACAACTGTATTCCATGATTTACATTCTTTGAATGATGCTGCCAAGTTTACCTTTGGAAAGCTTTGGAATTTTAATTTTAAAGCTGAAATAGCCAAGCTGGAAATACAGCTGACTTGGAAAACTTTTCCAGTTTGGACATTTTGGCATTTAGTTTGAGATTCATGCTGAATTCACTTTTAATTCCAGACAATTATCTCTTTAGTGAATAACCTTGTTTGTTTTCTCTCCCACTCATACACAGTGCAAATATAGATTAGCTGGACCACAGTAATATCACAGAACAAAATAAAAAGGAAAAAGTAAAGAAATGCACTTAATGCTCAATATTTTGGCAAAACCTTGTCTAAATGTGATCCTTAACCCCTTAAGGACACATGACATGTGTAACATGTCATGATTCCCTTTTATTCCAGAAGTTTGGTCCTTAAAGGGTTAAACATTTTCTGCAATGCCGTGCACATGAATTTCCTACTTACCCTGTCAAATGCTTTTTCTGTGTCCACTGCAATGGCCAACAGGGGGTCCTAGTCCTAGTGGCGCCATCTATAATATCTAAAATCTTATGGGTCTTATCACTAGATGGTTTTCCCGGAATGAAGCCAATTTGGTCTCGATGGATTACAGCATCTAAGATCTCTTATATTCTACTCTCTAAAATTGTAGAAAACGTCCACATTTATTAAGGAAATGGGTCTATAAATTTTAAATTTTATTGGAACCTTACCTTGTTTAACAAAGATAACAGGAAAAGGGCTTCGCTAGGTAAATAAACTGTAATAATAATAGTAAAAATAATACAGTACTAAGTATCTGAGATCTCACTGAAACAGTGGGATTGGGGTTCTGATAGAATCACATAAAAGAAAAAAACTAAATGTTCAAGTATCACTCGAAAATAAATGTCTATTAAAGTGCTTGTTTTGGGTGTAGTATCCTCAATGTCTATTCCATTTTTTCTTAACTTGTTTAAGAATAGATACAATATTTGCAGTTAGCAATTGCTGAGGGGAATATCCCTGCTCCACTATATTATTAATAGTGTACGTTAAGTGGGCACAAAGCGTGACTCTGAATGTTCTTTAGAAAGTATTCCTGAATCAGGGCCAGGCATTTTCTTTTGCTCCAATCTGAGAATAGCATCCTCCATCCTCCGCAACAGAAATTGGGTGATTTAGGTTGGCTTTTTCATCCTCTGAAATCTGACTCGTGGCTGCCACCTCCTCCCATTCTGCTGAAAAGCAAGAAGGCCCATTTCCCCCACCTTAGTGCATGGGCCATATGGTGTGCCTCCTTAGTGTGTGGGTCCCTGGCTGCACCGGCTGGCCCCTAGGGGGAAAAAAGATGGTTGAGGGTAGCTGCTTTGGGCTGCACAGAAGTAACTGGGCCCGGGGCTGTTGTCCCATTTGCCCTGCGTTAAAGACAGCCTTGTCGCAGAGGGAACACAACTATTCCCAAACCTGCAAGTCAAGCAATACAAACTCATATAATGTCTTTTGAAGGAAAAATATTAAATAATCCCTGATTAGGATGAAATGTATCCTTAATGATTCCTATTACTCTATGGGCACAGCGTTTGATGTGGATTTCTTATATTGAATGGAGCTGAACACCAATAACGTATTGAGTTGTTTTTACTACTCCTGAAAAGCCTTTAAATCAGCAGCTGAACAGTTACCGTACAATGATAAAATACAATTTGTCAGAATACTTTAAATTGTACAGCAGTAAAAGTTAGACATTATTTATGGCGATAACCAGGCTTTCTGTAGCTCTCTTTAAAAGAAGAGATGCTGCTGTGCTTTCTTGACTACAGCAGTGGAATTAGTGCTTCAAAACAGATCTGAAATATGAACTCATAGAAACTTAAAATAAGTGACGCGTTCAATCTCACCTCCATTTATATGAATAATGTATCTTTTCTTATTGCATCAAAAATCCACAATGAGTTCTTTAGTTTTTTTGAATATTAAGAGTCAAGTTGTTATTAGCGCACAAATCTGATAAGGCCTGGAGCCCATCGCAATAGAACCTTACATCTTCATTACTAAGAAGGAGGTCCAGTGTAGGAGGCAAACTAAATTTTAAATGAGTAAGAACCAACCTCTTAAACTACTTAGCTACAATAGTAGTGAGAGCATCTGGTCTGAAATCATTAATCCCTTTGCAGCAGCATGTTTTGGCACTGGTACAATATTAGCTGTTTCAAAGCAAGATGGCATAATGGCTTGAAATAAGGATAAAAAAACAAATGATGGCGGCACTCATGCTATGTTCAGCTCGGCTTCCCAGTAACTGCAGATTGGCGATTTTTGTTTTGTTTTTTCAATGTAATCTTATGGTTACTAAATACTGCAGCATGGTCTTTTAAGTATCAGAGCTCTTTGTATAATTGCAAAAACACTACTGCTTCACCTTTAACACACTTGATGTCTCCAGATGCGGCCAGGACACCAGATTCAGGAGCCCGAGGTAAACGCTGTAAGCAACGAGATTGTAAGCAGGAGATTGGTAAGAGAGGAGGAGTGTGTGCCATGTTCAAACTGAATCCACATTATCCGGCACTGCATTGTATACTACTTACTAAAGTGTGATTATTGGTGAATAAAATGGATGAATTGCTACTATGGCTGACAAGGAAGATGTTTATGGATTGCAATCACTTTAGGCCTTCAGACGCACTGTGCGAAAAATGTTCACAGTGCTTCGCCCTGGTCACAACCACTCATCCATGTATAGTGTGTGTATAAGGGTGTTGTGTTTGTATTGGGACCAGGGCTGTCTTTATCAAGGGGAAAACTGGGCAGTTGCCCCGGGCCAAACTACTCCTGGGGGGCCCAAAGCAGCTGCCCCGTGGGCCTCCTGCCTGCAACCAGCACCTGACAGCCCACCGGGATCATAGGCGTGCGCACGGGGTGTGCCGGGTGTGCCTGGGCACACCCTAATCCCTGCAGCACGCCTATGAATTGAGACCGGCAGGGGAGATCTCAGGATCTCCCCTGTCGGCTCATGCAGAGCCGGCGCTATCCGAGCGCCGGCTCTGCTCTCAGCCTCCCTCCCCACTGACCCACATGCAGGGAGGGAGGCAGGAGAGGACCGGCGGAGCTATTGCTGGCAGCTCCGCCGGGTTCCTCTCGCGAGAAATGAGCGTTGCCATGGCAACGCTCAAATCTCGCGAGAGTGAACTCTAGCCCCACAGGGGGCTAGAGTTCACTCTCCGCTGGACCACCAGGGATCACAGCAGCAAGGATCCCCTCCTCCACTGGACCACCAGGGATCACAGCAGCAAGGATCCCCTCCTCCACTGGACCACCAGGGATCACAGCAGCAAGGATCCCCTCCTCCACTGGACCACCAGGGAAGGAAGCAGCAGCACGATCCCCCCTCCCTACAAAAGGTAAGAAGGGAGGGGGGATAGCAAGTACCCACATCCACCCCCCACAATCACCCACCCACACATACAGCACACACACATACAGCACCCACACACATTCAGCACCCACAGACATACACAGCACCCACACACATTCAGCACCACACACATTCAGCACCACACACATTCAGCACCCACAGACATACACAGCATACACAGCACCCATGGACATACACAGCACCCACAGACATACACAGCACCCACAGACATACAGCCCCACACAGCACCCACACACATACAGCACCCACAGACATACACAGCACCCACACACATACAGCACCCACAGACATACACAGCACCCACACACATACAGCACCCACACACATACAGCACCCACACACATTCACAGCACCCACACACATTCAGCACCCACAGACATACACAGCACCCACACACATACACAGCACCCACAGACATACAGCACCCACACACATTCAGCACCCACAGACATACACAGCACCCACACACATTCAGAACCCACACACATTCAGCACCCACACATTCAGCACCACACACATTCAGCACCCACACACATTCAGCACCCACAGACATACAGCACCCACAGACATACACAGCACCCACAGACATACACACAGCACCCACAGACATACACAGCACCCACACACATACAGCAACTCCACAGACATTCAGCACCCACATACATACAGCACCCACAGACATACACAGCACCCACAGAAATACACAGCACCCACACACATACAGCACCCATACACAGCACCCACAGACATACAGCACCCACAGATATACACAGTACCCACACACATACAGCACCCACACACATACAGCACACACACACAGCACACACACATACAGCACCCACAGACATACACAGCAGCCACACACATACAGCACCCACAGACACACACAGCACCCACAGACATACACAGCACCCACACACATACACAGCACCATAACACATACAGCACCCACACACACATACAGCACCCTCACAAACACACACAGCACCCTCACACACAGCACACTAACAGTACCCTCACAAACACAAACAGGACCCTAACAAACACACACACAGCACACTACCAGTACCCTCACACACAAACAGCACCCTCGCATACAGTACATTAACAGCACCCTCACAAGCACACACACACACAAACAGCACCC